CCGTGGAACTAATATGGATATCCAAATGTCCGTCTATATCCAGAATATAGAAGATATCCTATGGATGAATATTCATCAAAATATCTAATGAGTATCTCCAGACAATACAAGAAATGCCAGATATATCCATAGAATATATTTTGTGGATATCCAACCAAATGTCCGTCTATATCCCAGGATATAGAAATTCAGATAAATATTTTATAACTATTTTTAGTAGAGGTTTATAAGTAACCAATGGTTATTGAATAACGTCGAAAGAAAATAGAGGTAAAAAATATTCCCAACAATCTGCCTTTGATTTTGCATAATAAGGAGAAAATCATCCTTATTAGGAATCTTCAGCAATAAATGGAACTTCTCGACTTCAGTCTCTAATGAAGTCTGTTTGTGAAACAATGTCGATCAAACTCAATTACGGCGGGTTAAGCATGAGTAGATATGAAAGTGGTATCGCCATCTATACTTAGGAAGCAAAATCAAAAATTACATCTAGTAGATATCCACGATGGTTTGCGTCCGCGCTTAGACTTTGATATATTTATAGGGACCGTGCGTGAAATATAGAGGCAGCACTACTGCCGAACTTAGCCCTCTCTAGTGTTTAATTTTAGAATTAAATGGGGTAAACATTGTAAGTAAATAATAAAGGGTATTTTTTTAAATATTAAATATAGTTAAAAATAGATACCGGCCCGTACCAAACAATCGTTTACATGGTCAAAATGACGTAAAATGTGAAACATTATTAAAATCTGGACATGCATATACATTTTAAGCAAAAAGATTAAATGGCTAAGTGACAATAAATTGTAAAGTTGTACCTTAAACAAGTGTATCCAATGTTAAAATATCGGTATTTAGTAACACTGAATTTAAAAGTATTACAATAACATTTAAATAATGTAAATTAATAAAAAAGATTGATAATAATAATTATAAATCTTTTTAGCTTTATGTTAATCGAAATGTCATTCGTCCACTGACGTTTATGAGATGTTCAATGATACATATTATAGATTGCTCACCCATCTATAAAAAAATTATGAAAAGCGGGTTGCAATGTGCCTTTCCTAGTGCTCACTAAATAGAGCCGTTCTAGCCCAAATGTGTTTTAAAATAAAATTTCAGCATTTTAATCTTTAGAAAAAGAAAATAATTAAAGTTTTACTTCAAGACATGTCATTATGTATTTGGAAAGTTGAGTTTTCATGTAGTTAAATAATATTAAGAGATCTAAACAATTTTTATAACAGATAGATATAAATAATTTTAGACTACTATTTCAGAAACAATTCTACATAAAATACATATGTAATACAATTTTGAAAAGGTAATGTAAACAATTTTGATATGAGGTATAAACAACTTTGGGAAGAGTTGTAATTGGACACTTATCTATTATTCTGAATAATGTTTAATGGTAATGTCACTAAAAAAATTTACAAAAATCACTGGATTTTTAATATTTTAAAGTTTGTTACAATCTCTTTTGACAGTAATTGCAATGTATTATTTATATGTTTATTTTAATAATAAATGAGAAATAGTTAATAAATTGTAAAGAGGGCCGTGATATTTTTGTCAAATTGGACATTCTTATTTCATATTCTACATTAGTTTTAATCAACAGAATAAACCATTATCTGTAAAATGATATTTATATAAAATGTTCATTTATAAATATGTAAAAATCTTAATGACAAGAAAACACTAAAGATTCTAATTTCTAAACCGGTTCTGTAAATGATTTCCTTACAACTAAGTGCCATAGAGCTAAGTGCTCAAAATTGATACAAGCTAGATAAAAAGAAAACTTTGCCCAGTGAAATAAGCTTTTCGTCGTCTGATTTACATATGGATAAGCAATCTTTGTAATTATGTATATCATTGGGTGTGAGGCATAATTGTGCTCTGTGGAAATTTATAAAATTTCTTTACTATCGAATGAAATCCAGGTTTCCAAAGTGATGTGTTTGTACATCCACGGATGCAACAAGTTTTTCGATATTGATATTACGAAAATAATTGGACTTCATTTTATTAATAATTATTAAACAATAAATGCCGTATAAAACATTAATAAATACCCCCCATAAAGTTCACATTTTTGTCACCAGTTAGCGTTAAAGTCATGACGCACGGTCCATTAAAGGGGCGTTTGATTTGAAGCTCGATCGAGCGAGCGTCGAGGAGACCGAGAAGTGATGACGTCACAATAGAGCATTGAATCAAATCAAATAAAACAGAGTAAAAAACATAACCTCGCTTTTCTGTGATTCTTGTTTCTGGTTTGTATGTTAAAATAGTGAGCAAAAAGTAAAGAAAATGGAAAAACTTTTAATAATAAGGGGTAATGGCCCTGATGTGCAACATTTACCACAAATGCCCGCTTCGCTCTCATACTCCATGACTGTGATTACTGGTGATTAGATCTGGACAGAAAAAATGTATTTTTCAAACACACATTTTGTGTTTTTCATGACGAATGATTTTAGCTATAAGACAAAAGCAGCTAAGTAATTTGTTTACTTCTTGTCTGGTCTTTAATTTTAATATTCAAATTTGTTTGTAAGTTAATTAAAAAGAGATAGGTAGAGACAAAGACAAATTTCTCCCTCTTCTCGATCCTTCTGCTCTGAGAACATCGAGCTCGCTCTATGTTCTCGCTCCAAAGCAAAACAAACACTTTAGGGATATCTCGAAGTATCAATTCAAACACGTTTGCAGCGCTCGGAGATCTCCGATGATCAAATCAAACGCACCAATAGTGGATGTCCATGGGATATTGAATACACCTTAAAAAAAATTAATTTTAAATATCTCAACGGTACTATTAGCCACAATGGCGAGTACAATGGCGTAATTTTTTAATAATTTGCTATATAATTACAATTATTTATGGACATTTGCATGTCTATAAATTACATTTCATGGATATAAAATAGATATCCACCATGGACTGGACATTCAGTGGATATTGGGATGTTCAGTAGATATCCAAAGGATTTGGTGTGCTGTCTGGGAATGTTTGATGAAAAACTTACTTTTTCAGAACACATTACAATGATATCATTAAAAGCCAGAAAGTTGTTGGGTTATATACAAAGAATCTCTAATGGTCTCTCAATAAATTCTTTTAAAATTCTTTATTGCACTCTTGTTCGTTCTAATATGGAATATGCAGCTGTTGTTTGGAACCCTTATTATTGCATTCACATTAATAGACTTGAAACGGTTCAACATAAGTTTCTGAGATGCTCAGCATATAAATTAGTAGTGCGTATAAATAATTACGATTATGCTAACTTATGTTCCAGATTAGAAATCACAACTTTGCAGAACCGGAGAACTCAATTAGATCTATGCTTCCTATTCAAACTTTTGTCTGGATCAATATATTCTCCTGATATTTTATTAAAAATTGGTCTTAAAATTAATAGTGCAACCAGAGCTAATGAAACTTTTTTATTAGACCCCATAGACAAAATTACGGCTTTTATAGTCCATCAACACGATTGGTTAGGAGTGCTAACAGTATAGAAATAGACTTGGATTTTTTTGGTTCCTCATATCCTTCATTTAAAAGAAGTATTGCTAACCACTTTCTTAATGACACTTGAAAGTACTGTTATTGTCTGCCTTGTTAATCAAATGTTTTAATCATAGGTTTTAATCAAATGTTTTACATGTTACAATTTTTGATGTTTTTTATTTTGTATTTGTGCATATATTTTTATATTTTTATTGTAAAATGGGGTTTTCCCGTAAATAAATAAATATAGACGGACATTTGGATATTCATATTAGATCCACTGGATATATTGGACATTCATAAAATATATTATGTGGATATCTCTGGGATTTCTTGTATTGTCTGGAAGATACCCATTAGATATTTTGCTGGATATCCGTAGGATATCTTCTATATTCTGGATATAGACGGACAATTGGATATCCATATTAGATCCACGGGATATTTCTGATATCCTGTGGATATATTGGATATCCACAAAAGATATTCTGTGAATATCTCTGGTTTTTGGTGTGTTGTCTGGACATTATACAATATACTAAATATTGTATTTGAACATTTTCTTAACTTTACCTATGAATATATCTGTTAGTAGTGAAAGTGATGAAATTATGAGCACTCCACCAGAGATTTTAGAAAAAGCTCAAGCTGCCACACATAATTTGTTACCGCTAAAATCCAAAAAATGGTAAGAAATTACCTATCGATAATTTATGGATTAGCGACACAAGCATTATATCCTTTATTTAATAGAAGAAAATAATTATGCGTAGAAAAAGTATAGTACGTTACACGAGTTGTAAGCCCATTACGCACTTGCGAAATTTACGCACTCGCCGCTGCGCAGCTTCGTGCGTAAACTTTTTCACTTCTTTAAATTAAATTTATAAATAACACAAGTAAACATTCGGCAACATTGCTGAATTTTTATTCGGAGCTCCCACACGTAAAATACCTAGAATCAAGGGTCAAAATTTGACTTTTATTTTAATTTTCCCAATTTTTTGCAGTCTCGTTTTAAAATTGTAGTAGAAAAGTTGGCTGGTTCTTGAGACAATTTTGTTGCTTAATTTACTGAAGCCAAAAAATATTAATTAGTACAAACACTGGCGACCTTGAAATAAATCCGTTTTGCTAATATGCTAATTTATTGCAGAAAATATAGGAAGTGAGGTGCTTGGTACCGGTAGCAAGCTTGTCCCATCGCAAATTGATTAAGTAATCCGGCCTATTTATTATGCCGAAGCTTCACAACATTTTACCAATCTATTAACAACAGTTTATTTCATAATATTAATAAAAATAAATTAATAAATTTGGAATTAGCGCTTTAAAATAATAAAATTATCTAATTTTAAATCGCTCATGATACTCATTTGTTCGACAACTTTCGATGCTATTGATCAGACTTAAATAATTTGACAAAATTAAGAGTTGCTAAAAATTTTTGCCGAATAAAAGTGGAATGGGAGAAAGAGATTGGAGACCTTTTATCTATGGTGGAGTAGCTTCATGTGTTGCTGAATTTGGTAAGAACCCCTTGCATTGAATATTTATTTGGACTCTATATTTGATAATTTCATAGTAGCTGTAATTTTTCCTAAAAACAAACTAGTGAATTATTAAGGTATTGTTTTAACTTTATATGATGGAAGTATTTTGCTTAGATACCTATAAATAGGAATGTAAAATTTATAAGTTCTGTAATGATATTTATAAATATAGCTTTAAAAAAAGAGTTGTTAACCCCTTACACCTACATCTTTAGTATTTTCATTTAATTGAAAATATTGAGATCTATAGGTATATAGGTATTCTTCGGACTCATTTTTTTACAAAACTAAATATTTTAAATCCGATCAGAATCTAGTTGTGCTGGGGTTGACTATAAAACAATACTTTGCTAAATTACAGTTCATTGTTAAAGTCTTAGGTTATTGTTTTAAATTATAGGTTATATTCGAATGTTCTGATTTCAAATGTAACAATCATTTGTTTCTATAAAATTCCTCATTAATAGGTAAACTGCAATAAATAATTATATTTATAGATAGGAGATAAGTTTTTCCTACCTATCCAAAAGTAGGTACATTTTTCATAGATGAATGAAATTTAGTAGTAGTATATTTGTTTCAGGAACCTTTCCTATCGATACAACTAAAACCAGATTGCAAATTCAAGGACAAAAATTAGACAAAAATCATGCAAATCTCAAGTACAGAGGAATGGTAGATTGTTTTATAAAAATTGCCAAACAAGAAGGATTCAGTTCGTTATACTCTGGGTATGATTTTATTGCATATTTTCCTAATTTACCATATTATGAATATTCAAAAATTATCATCATTCAATAGACATACATGTATTTTTTTTTAGTAATTAGATTAAGATAAAAATATAAATGAATTTAATATTATAGAGATAACACACGCGAACTGCAATTGATAAAGCTTTATTTTATTTGAATATGTTTACACAGACAGAATTAATTTTCCATCATGTTATATTTTGAATGCAAGAAACAAACTATGAAAAATATTGGATTTAGATTGTCAATAATTCTGGAAGAATTTTATTTATACATAAATATAGATACATCATAAAAATAACATGCAATTATTAAAATAATAATATTTATAAAATATTAAATAGCTCTGCCTATTTACAGAATGGACCATGGTTTTCTACGTTTCTCTATATAGTTGTTTCAATTCTAAGCTACATATATAAAATAACCAATTAATAGCTTTGTGCAGCATCTATTTAAATTGATCCTATAAAGTATAACAAAAGAATGAAACTATACCCATTTATTGATATTGTCTGAGTAAGCACTCATTAATTTTACGTTTAATGTCAAAGTTTATGTCCAAATTTAATTCAGCTGCTTATCTATTAAAATTATAAATAGTATGGATAGGTTAATTTAGCAAAATATTTATTCAAAGTGTGGGCAAGTAAATTACCGTTTTATATCTTGTATTGTGTATCTTGAGGTACACTAAATTTAATTTTTAGAGATATTAAAGATAATTTCCCCATTTGAACAGCATTGTCAATTCCCCTTTCCAGATAAATGCTATCAATTTTAAGTGTAATGTATTTCATAAATCTGTGATGGATAGATTCAATAAGTAACTTATGGGATATATACATGTATTCAAGATGTGATCTTACAAATGAGTTGAATACAATTAGACCGTCTATATTTCTGAAAGCCATGCTTTCTTTTAGCTGTGGATGTAATGTAAATTAGTTGTTGAGGTAAAAAACTTAACTTCTTGTTAAATTTCAATTCCCAAATCCTTTTCTGTCTCCACTTCCTCGAGTGAGTTATTCTGTATTGAGTATACAAACTGGATGTTAAGTAAGTGTTTATTTGAAAATCTCATGAACTTGTCTTTTGGAATATTAAAGAGGCAATTTATTAGTAATATAATAATTATTAAATTTATCTAAATAATTTTGTATAAAAACTTTGAAAATATTTTGCCTAATTTTCCCTAATTTTACTCTTAATTATAAACAATTTAATGGTACTTAAACATGTAGTTAAAAAAGAAGGATAATATTGCATAACAATAACTTGGAATTTTTAAGTAATAATATTAAAATAAAACTTAAAATATTAGAGAACATTTGGCATAAAACTTACATATTTTAATACACTATACCGTTATTATACCGGGTGTTCAAATTAAAGTGTTACAGTTAAATACCGCCGAAAATATGCATATTAGAAAAAAAAGTTTTATAGTTTTTTGGGGGAAACATTTTGGCTAAATTCATTTTTTTATAGCTGACCATAATATGGCCATATCGAGGTGGACTTTGTTTTTTAAATGGGAATCCCATTTTTTCTTACATGGGAATCCCATTTTTTTCTTACATATTCTTAAAGTACATAAAAAAAATAAGAAACTTTTGAGAGAAATATTTTTTTTATTGGACTTTTACTTTTTGAGTAACAGCTACTTGAAAATGTTGCTGCGCGAAAAAAAGTTGGCTATATAGCATGGTTAGCTATAAAAAACAATTTTAGCCAAAAGTTTTTCCCCACAAAACTATAAAACTTTCGTCTGAAACGTTTTTTTTTTATAAAAAGCGGTATATAGCTGTAACGCTTTAATTTGAACACCCGGTATATTATTATGCGACTTTTGGTGGATATAATAGTATACATTTTACAGTAGTTGCTATAACTCCAGTTACAAAATGACATTACATCAAAAATATATCAGTAATGGCAACTAAGTAAACCTTAATAGTAAACTTACAATTTGTATAAAAAGTTCGTGTAATCTACCTAAATTCTCTAACGAATTAAATTTTATAGAGTAACATTTCATATTAGTTTGTAAAAATGAATACGCCTTATCATTTTCTTAAAATAATGGTTTTAAATTTTTTTTGAAAAATTACGAAAAAAAAAATAAACTTAAAAAATATTTCAAAATAATTTGTTATTTTAAATAAAAACATACTAATGTAACCTTGTTTTGTCTACATATTGCAATTATGATACAGAATTTTTTACCAACATGGCGGAAAGTTTGTGTTCCTTTTTACCGAATAAAATGGCTGAATCTTCTTTAGACCAAAAAGTTGTAATTAATACATATAAACACCACGTTAATATTTTATAACTTATACTTTTGTTGCTTTTATGTGCACAACACAACATATGGTTATTATAACTTAATTATGTATGTTTAATTTGCATATATCATATTATTTATTACCACTATGTTATAGTTTAATTCTATGTGTATAATATAAGTTATATCAAAACTCGTTTATCACTGAGTTATAACTGTCAAAAAATAAAAACATTTCTATAGGTTATGTAGATGTTCTGTTTACTGTTACTGCTTACTAACATCATTATTAAAATTTGCAATTAGGAGTATTTCAATAATTTCTAATATTGGTTTTCAAGAATTAATACAGAAAAGATCAAATAAAGAATACTTATTGTTTGCAAAACATGGTTTTAACAGTGGAATCGACCCTTAGACGTTAAAAGATCCAATAAAGACTTAAATCGATATTTTTGTATTATTTTACCTCCTACATTTGAAATAAAGGTTTTTTTTTTTCGAGATGGTTTTCTTGAAAGTTGGCTTTTAGTTGCTGTTGTATAACTTCTGAAAACACTAAGCGACTTGTTATTTCAGGAGTAACTTGTCCTTTTAGCAAATCATTAACAATTTTGTTGGGTGTATGTGGTAATTTTTTTTAGTCTGTTGAATTTTCTTTTTGTATCGTTCACCTTTCTTTTTAATATCGCTAAGACATTTTTTAAGAAGTTTTTATCTCATTTTTAAGCTTTTCTTTATTCCATCGCTGCATAATTTTACCTTGAATAGCTTGCCTTGAAATGGGAAGAAATGGGGGGTATGTCTCGCGACTTGGCGTGCCATATGCCCTTCAAAAGAAACTGGACTGGCCGGTGGGGTATTCTCTTCTAATTTCTTGTCTAGCAATTCTCTTTTTTTCTTCTCATTTTTTTTACTTTTCGTTTTCCCTATCATCCATTTCACATATATTTTTTATTTTTCCAGCTTCTTTTCTAGCTAAATACCTCTCTCGTTCCTTTTTCTTTTGCTGTTCATGTAGAACCGGGTCGTTTCTAATTTGTTCACGTAATTTTTCATGCATTTTTTTTGATCGTTGATTTTGTAATTTTCATGATTTTTTCGATTCGTTTTTTTTTCAAGTTTTTCCTTGGTCTTAGCCATTCTTGATTTTTTTGTTAATAATAACTGAAATAAATACAATATTTCTCTAAATCTCCGTTATTTTACCCTTACATCCGTTAATTTTCCTTATTAACAGTAGTGAGATTAACGGAAGTGAGACTTTTATTTAAATTTGCCGCCTTTAATTTACTAAAAATAAGTTTTTTGATAGTGGCTTAAAATTAAAAATAATCAAATTGAGTTCAGGGGAACCCAAAATTTAAAAATCCGTCGAAAACTCGAGGACGAAAAAAAATCATGATTCCCATACCTGCCTTCCTTATCTGTATACAGACGGGAAATAAGTAAAAGTGAAAAGAGAAAATAATTAAAACCAATAATGTTTAAAGGAGGACATGTAAAATGGAACTAATCGAGTCCATGTTAAATTAATAAAAAACACGTCAGATAGATATTATAATTTGTGTTTAAAGGTCTAAAGTGATTATTGAAAAACACAATACAAGTTTCTAATTGTAAATTATTAAAAATATGTTTTTCTACGAACTCTTACAAAAAGACATCTTTCGCCACAGGATACTTTCAGCGAAAACTTGATTTCCGTCACTAGTGAGAAAAAATCCCATAACGTTTACTTTCGTCTCTAGTGACGAAAGTAAGTTGTTACATATTTTCATATATCAGTCGCCTCGTATAATATTGGCAGCTTATAATTATTAATAATGAAATAAAAAGATGCTCATTAAATTCTATATGCGTTTTTACCTAAACTTTAATGAATTAAAGATAAAATAAAAATGTATAAAAATAGTGCAAATTAAACCAATCTACATCTAGTTTCCTGGTATCAAATAGAAGAGGGAGACTTACCTAACTTGAAGCCACTTCAAATCCTACACTTCCTTGAGAAAATAGGATTGGAAGGGTCGCTATAGGCATTGAGACATTTCCTTAGTGCAGTGGCGACAGAAGGGGGCACAATAGATCTTTTAGGTCGCAGTGTATTAACACCCCATTATCAACATAACATAGTTTCCTGGTTTTCATTTGTTTATTTGAAGTTTTATCACTTTTGAGAACTGTCAGTTTCAGTTCGTCCTAAATTTAACACATTTTCATGATGTCTGAGTCAGAAAGCGATTGTACTCCCCCAGAAATTATTTTTAATCAGATTTATTACCGGCCAAATCAAAAAAGAGATATGAAGAAATTTATATCAAATTTTTGGACTGGAGAGAAAAAAATAAAGTGAGATCATTTTCGGAAACTGTACTACTAGCATACTTTGGAGAAATATGTTCAAATTTTAAACCGTTGACGTTATGGTCCATTTATTCGATGCTAAGAACTACACTCTCTGTTAAAAATGATGTCGATATTAGTAAATATCCAAAGTTACGTTTGCTTTTGAAAAGAAAATCTGATGGTTTTAAAAGCCAAAAATCCAAAAAAATTTTCGCCTGAAGACATAAAGACTTTCCTAAAGAATGCACCTGACTATAAATATTTAATAACAAAGGTAACGGAATTATCATTTTTATTTTAACAAATACTTAATACATAACTACTAATATTTGTAGGTAGCATTAGTTTTTGGATTATCTGGCGCTTGTCGTTGCCACGAACTAAAAGATTTAACAATAAGCGATGTAAAGGATACTGGAAGTATTCTGTTAGTTAAAATCCGTAATACAAAAACAAAAGTTCCGCGTTCTTTTCATATTTCTGGACCCTTTTATGATATTTCTAAAAAATATATGAGCCTACGTCCCGCAAACATGGATCAAATTAATTCAAGATTCTTTATTAACTATCAGAATGGAAAGTGTAGCAGACAGGTTGTTGGAATTAATAAAATCAGTAAATTTCCTAACGAAATTGCTCAGTTTTTAACGTTTCCGAATCCTCAAGATTACACTGGGCACTGTTTTCGCAGAACATCCGCAACGCTATTAGTGGATGCAGGAGGTGACTTGCTTCTGTTAAAAAAGCACGGTGGTTGGAAATCTAGTAGTGTTGCGGAAGGATATGTTGATGAATCCACGAACAGTAAAAACCAAATACAAACCAAAATTTTACAATCTGTACAAAATAAGGAAACTACTAGTTCATCCGATTATGGCGCATTATCATCATCTGAAATGACATTTAACAGTAGAACAAATATGTCGGCATCTACCTCAATAAATAAAAAGCTTGAGTGTAATACCCCCATAATTTTGAACAATTGTTCAAATATAACAATAAATCAATATTTAAATAATAAATAATATTTCTGAAATATTTAATTGTTGGTTAATTTTTTGTTATTCCTAACACAAAATAAAGCATTTGCTAACGTTTTTTTTTTTTTTTTTTTTTTTTTTTTTCATTTTTGTAGGTACCTACATGACATAATAGAGTTCGTAGAAAAAGTATAGTGTTTTACTCGTCGAAAATCATTTTTTGAAGCTCGCGAACATTACCAACCTCGGCTTCTCCTCGGTTGGTAAATTGTTCTCTCGCTTCAAAAAATGTTATTTTCGTCACTCGTGAAACAATATACTATTAATCAAAATAAATTTCACCATTAAGTGTTGTCATTTGAAAAATAAGCGCATGTAAAAATACGTAAGCCAACGACTAAAAATAAATGAAGAAACACGTTTTCTGTTATTTTAAAATCACACTGCTTCAGTTGGTACACACGTGTACAATAAAATACGTATTAGATAAACTATTCATTCTAAACTGATTAAGGTGATTAAAATGTTTGTTTTTACTCCATAGGTATTACATATTTTTTTTATTTGCCTTTTGTAAACTAAAATTAGAGTTTTTAAGAAATACCTTTATCTTAAATTGCCTTTCTTATTCTTATTTCTCCTTCGGAAAACGTATTAATGTTGATTATTTCTTGTAAAAGCTACAAATATATCTCATTATTTTATCAAAAGAAAACAAATTTGCTCGGCAGAAATATTTTTAAGATAACTGGAATTTATATAAATATTTTGATCTTTTAAATAGGTAGTTTACTTTAAAATTCAAGTGTAAATATTAAATTTTATTTTACAAAACAAAACGCTTTAATGTTAGGTACGTCGTCAAAACGAGATAACATTTTTATTAACTCTGTTGAATTACATCAATTAATAAATTTGACGTCATAAAATACATCGCAAATTAACTAATGAATAGATTTCAAAAACAAAAAATATTTGAGTGAGTTTTTGTCATTCACAATATACAGGATGTTTGGAAGGTCGATGCAAAGTATTGAAGAGGTGATAGGGGAGGTCATTTAGACCTAATTAAGCCAAGCATACCTTAGTACAAAGTCTTACGGTCTTACATTTTGGATTTCTTTAAAAAAAAATGCATTTTTTCACATTTTTCTCCTTTTATCTCTAAAAGATGATAAGTTTGATATTTTTTTTAATAGCAGAACGTTTGTCTTTTCTGAAAGTGTAAAGAAAAGAAAACCACACTGACTACAAAAAAATAAATAAATTTTTGGTAGTTTTGTTTCTCTTAAAAAAAAATCCAAAATGTTCGAAACACTCGAAAACCGTAAGGCTTTGTACTAAGGTATGTTTGACTTAATTAAGTCTAAATGACCTCTCCCCTATCACCTCCCCAAGACTTTGCATCGACCTTCCCAACACCCTGTAGAAATTTCATCAAAAATTTCTATTTTGAATTAAACAATGAATTTATCTTGTGATAGTAAGAGTAAATTTCAATTTTTTTTATCAAATTCAGATTAATAATTCACCGGAAATTTTTGATTTGGGAAATATTGCCGACCTTGACTTAAAAATACACTAAAACGATTTTTGAAAATTTACATTGCATCCATGAAACCATAATATTTTACGTTAACATAAAATAAAGGATGAGAATTTTATGATCTAAAATTTACATCATTAAAACGCGTGACAAAATTCTACATAACATGAAAAATTTGATGCAGGATAGCCTTGGTTTCTTTAATGACGTTTCTAACTTTATTTGCATAATAAATGCGGAACAGAAATATCAGGAGATTTTAGGAGCAGAGTTTATTAACGGTAACCAACGGCATCCTATTAGTAAGCCTCGACTGTCCATCTGTCTGTCAGCGGGCTGTATCTTATGATCCATAATAGATAGACACTTGAAGTTTTCACAGAATGCGTATATTTGTTGTTGCTATATCAACAAATAAGAATAAATTAATTATTTTGGCTTTTATACTCGATCTTAATAAAGTATTTAAAAAGTATCTACATAGTGTTAAATTTTGTACGATGGTGCGAAACCCTTTATGCGCGAGTCCGATTCGCACTTGGCCGTTTTTTTTTTTATTGTATTAACTGTAGTTATAGTATTTTTAACATAAATTCCGATTTACGTCAGATATCATTTATGACGTCACGGCCTTGCAGTGTTGTCTAATCGTCAGAATAGTTGAGGAATTTAGAAAGATTTAAAATTGTAAGGTTATGTATTTGTTAAGTTACTAGGAACGATTAGTTTTAAATGTATATTTAGTATATTTGTTGATTTATTAATGTTAAAAAATAACAAAACCTTACAAAATAGGAAAGCAACTAAACTAACAGTGACCTTATCTAATGGCAAAAAGTCTTACTTCACGTCTGAACCGAAACCGATATCATGCAGGGCCGAATTTTAATTCTAAGGATGAGTGCGCTACGTTAATTTCCATTATTCTGAAACAATAATTAGTCGAGAATTAATGAAGCAAATTTCAAAAAATTTTGTACGGTTGAATAGAGAATAAAACCCCCTTTCAAATGAGGTATCACTCACCACCCCATGCCATTTAAATTTTTCGAAAGGGTTGCTCCCCTCTAGTAAGGGATCAAATTAAGGGTAAACTATTCATACAAAAATGTACATTGTAGAAATCAAAAATCGACGTGTCTCGGCGATTTTCCTAACAAGACTCCAGTAACGAGTTAGATAGGGGGGGTAAGACTTATGATGCTCACTGTATATTATATTCCACTGTATGTGTATGATTTACAATCACTGATTAGGTTCTTTTAACAATGTTGCCAAACTAATCTTTTTTGGTATACATTTTGTCACCGAATTCGGAGGCAACTATACCAAATAACAAAACTCCATCAAAATGTTCCTTCTGTTATTATTTTTTGTGATGTTCTGTAAATCTGGCCATTCGACAATCACCACTTAAATCAGATTAAGAGCAAACCGAACACCTTGAAAATTTCTAATTCCTTCCGAGCCTTTATTCTTAGTCCGATTTTTTTGTGAAACTTCTGATGGAGAAAACTTGAATATTTTGTAAACTTTCGTAATGTATTATGAAAATTTTTAAAAGGAATTAAAAGAACATTTACTCGCCATTCTATATTAAATCTATGAAAATTTGCTACTTTTTGTTTGAATAAATATCTAGTAGTTTAAATGGGAGGATTTCCCACCTCTTTTTTTCCTTAAACGTCTCTGTAGAGTGCTGCTATATCGTTGTAAATTTAAAGCTCTTAATATTCTGGAGACACATAATATTGCGAAGTATATCCAGTAGCGCGCATATAAATACAATTTTATATTAGAAAATACTTTAAACATGCTTTCGCGAGACGTCCGGTTTGCTCTTAAACCAGAACTGCCTATTTAATCCACAAATAATTGTTCATTCAGACACAATAATATAATTAATTTATATTTTTAGGATTTGGCCTGCAGTATTAAGGCAAGCGACTTACGGAACCATTAAATTTGGGACTTACTACACCCTAAAGCGAATTTTGGTATCTTATAACAATGGTAAAGAAAGTGTTACTGTAAATGTTGGCTGTGGTATTGTAGCGGGGGCTATTTCGAGTGCTATCGCTAACCCAACGGATGTATTGAAAGTTCGCATGCAGGTTGCGGGTATTAACGGCAATACTAATATCGGGTTGATAAATTGTTTTAGAGATGTTTATACTCATGAAGGAATCTCAGGGTTATGGAGGGTGAGTACATTATTTTCACAACATGAAATTACATCATCATGACACTTCGCTTTCATAAGAAATTTTTTTTCCATTGTACAAATAAAACTTTAAACAGGTAGGTACTAATAAAAATGTATTGTAGCCATAAATTCTCGAAATACCTGACATTATACGCAATTATTCAATTTTAATAGCAATAGTATTTGTATAATTTAAATTAAACTATTTTATGTATTTCGCATTAATCATTATTATTCGTAATTACATTTTGCAAATGAATGTTTTTCATTAAAAAAGGATATAGTTTATTATATTTCATCATCATCGAGTAACTCCAAGCTAAAGCAAAGACATAAGTATTTCAATCACAATGGCTTTTCTACTGTGATATTGTTAGTACACAAGTGACAAAAAAAGTTTCTATAAATGTTCTCAATTTATTTAGTTTTTTAACAGTATATCTGTGATCGACTACGTTGGGCGCCAAATGTTGGTTTTACATTTAATTATTTTCAAGATCTTTTACTAGGGTCATAGGTTTGGCATGCATGTTATTCATATTTTAAAATATTAAAGATAAAAAAAACGTGGAAACTATTATTACTAATTAAATTCACTGTATATGCTTTAGGTACAATAAAAAACAATTTACCAGTTTCAAAAGACTAAATAACTTTAAAAGTTTGTATATTTTTGCTTAAAGTTACATAAAATAAAAATGTTAACTTATCTTAATATTATATATTTATAAGATCTGTCTACGATAATCTTAGAAATGAACTCTTCTATAGAACGACAGCGGGTCAGTAGGTTAAAATCCCTAGAAATGGCCAGTAAATCTAGCCTCTACGCGGGGTTTGTTGGATCAGTAAAGTTAAGGAACCATTCGTTTGGTGTAACTCTTGCGCATTTAAGGGTTACTTAGCTATACCTCTCTTGAGAAATTATCGGTAAAAACGGCCGTTAGTAGTTTTGAGAGTGGTTTCCGCATGTAGTTCCATACGTCTGGATTTTTTCTTCGCATAAGGTAGAAACCTTGAACTAGTTAAGCCTTCACATTGACACAGGACATAGCAACTTCACAGAATGGTTCGAAGCCTGTCATAGTCATATCTGACCCTTCTCGGACTGGTTCATTGGCCTTTTCGTTGCCCTGATATCCTTTGAGGCCTGACACCTAGGTTAGGATCACAATGTTTTGTCTACTTAGCACTGCCAGGATCAAAAGTGATTTTATGAACTGGTTCATCCCAACAAGGAAAGCATCATCTTGCACCAGCAGGAGCAATTTTCTGGACACCCTTTCAACAGTCGTGATTTGATTCTTGGTGAGAGAGAGAGAGAAAGAATTGCTTAGCGATCAGATTTATAAAGCATCAATATTAATCAAATGCTGCTTTGTTATTCTAAGCACACTAAGTGGTACTATTGGTACAAGGCTTATCAGTCAATAGTTATTTCAGTCAAGCTTATTGCCCTTTTTCAATATGGCAGTCACTGACGCAATCTTTCATATAGATGGCAGGATGTGAGAATTAGAGGAGGAAGTCATTATACGAGAAATGGGATAACACAGAGTGTCAGCACAATATTTTAACAGAAAAGAGAAGATACCATCTAAGCCTGGCGAGGAGTTGGACTTCAGCATTTTAAGTTTGTTTTTTATTATGTCTAAACCAAACGATACGTTGGAAATAGAGGTATGTTTCTGTTTCAGATCTTCAAGTATGAAGACATTACAGAAGGTGTTAGAAATAAATTGAGCAGATTCAGTATTATTGGCACTTATTTCCGTTTTCTTTTGGTACAAGAGGTACGGACACTTTGGATGTCAGATTTGTTTTAACATATTTATAGAACTTTTTGCTGTCAGTGCAGTTGGCGATGTACTCCTGTTAGGCTTTGCTTTAATAACTACGGCCTTTAGTTGATTAGAGAATAGTTGATGAGCAGAGAAATCCTTCATATTAGTGGTTCGCTTAAATTTTTTCCATAGGTTTTTCTTATGTTTTACCATAAACAGTAGTTGATTATTTATCCAGGGTTTGAGATTTGTTCTTTTGTTTATTTTGTTTTTAGTATGAGATTTTACATAATCATTAACCGTATTATGAAAGATATTCCACATGCAGCTCGGATCATTATTTTCAGGGATAATATAATTCTAGTCTAGTTGGTCTAGATAGGAAAAAACTTCAACAAAGTTTGTGAGTGAGAAGATTGGATGTGTAAGAAGAGAATGATTGAAATTGTAAACGACACGTTATGACTGCATGATCAGATGATCAGATATTCCAACTGGTGGGAGATACACCGGTAGGGTTAAGAGTTTTTCATAATTAATAAGTAGCAGATCGAGGGTAGAAGGTTCCTGATTTATTCTAAATCTCGTGGATTGGGTTATTACTTGAACAAAACTAGATTTGTGGATAAATCCAATGAACTGATTGGTAACATTCTGCATATCAGGTATAGAAGTTATTAGCCATTTAATGTCTAAAAAAAAGAAATCACCTACTATAATTAGATTTTCAGAACCACTTAGGACATCGAGTTTGTCTAGCAGAGCCACGTCATTAGCAACAGGTGTGTCTGGCGGACGATAAATAACTGCAAGAGTAATATGGCAATTGAGATGTTGCAGATGCAAACAAAGATAATCAATACGAGGAACTGAGATATCTACAGATGAGATTGTAAAACAGTCTAAGATATGTTGAGCTACATATATACATACTCCTCCTCCTCGTCTATCAATTCGATCATATCTAAAAATCTGGTAATTAGAGATTAAGCTGTTTGGAATATTTACATTGAGCCACGTTTCGGTAATTAAAATAAGGTCCGGTTTTTCAGATTGAATAAGACAAATAAATTAATTCCATCCTTTCTGCAGCTCACAATTCTATCAACATATTTCGTTCGTTCGTGTATCCGTGCTGTGAGAAGGATATAGAGTTATTCGATCATTCCGACCGGCCGGGATTCGATCGTTTACTACTTCTAGGTGATTGGATCTTAGTGACCGAATCATTCACGATTGACACATCTCTACTGACGAGTTTGAGTAGGCAGTGGCCGATGAACTGTGACAGGGATAATATGGATCACAGATAGTTCACAGTTAATTATTATTTTCCGATATGTGGTATTTTTGATACGATAAACGTTAAAGTTCTTTTAACAAGTTATTTGGTCGATGACCTATTTGTAAAACTGTTGTTTTTTGTGTTCTGTTAATAAACTTCAACGTTAAATCCTCGTTTTATTGGGTAACCTTCTTCACCTACGAACTCCTTGAGATGAGCACAATAATTTAATTTCATACTTGCTGATTTATTATTTCTCTTTCATAGAGTTGTATGCCTATAAGTTAAGCCTGAAACAATACTGTTGCATATTCTCCTAGACTCGGTGAAATCGTTTTCGACTTGGATCCAAAGATTCCCTTCTTTAGTTTTTGAAACTAGTATACAGGGTGTTATTGAAATACACGTACATATTAAAATGGGGAATAGTATGTAATGACCAAAAACGATTGGCACCAATTTTAACTTCAAATTCTAAAATTTAAATATTGGGGAAGATTCCCCTTTTCCGACCTACTAGTTTCCATATTTAAAGAAGTAAAATAAATCGAAATTGAACTTACCCATAGAAATTGCACTGTTGCCGTAGCAAAACCAATTAATTCAAAATAAAGTTTATTACAGTAATTGTTCAAAATGCCGTCCATTATTATTTACACACACTTGCAATCGTCTTTCCAAAGAACTTTGAACATGTGACCCCACAAAAAGAAATCGCATGGATTTAAGTCCGGAGATCTCGGAGGCCACTTAGTAGGTCCATTTCTGCCTATCCACTTTTGAGGAAATCTAATGTTCAAAAACTGCCGTACGTTTAAATCAAAGTGAGGAGGAGCGCCATCTAGTAGGTACCACATGTTGCCTTAATTGTAACGGTATCTCTTCTAGGAGTACTGGCAAAATATCTTCTAAAAAGTGGAGATATCCTGGCCCATTTAATCCGTTCGGGAGAACATAAGGCCCGATTAAATACTGATCTATTATGCCAGCCCAAACATTTATTGAAAATTTTCTTTGATGCCCAGTTTCCCTAATGGCGTGAGGATTTTCATCACTCCAAATATGCGTATTGTGCATATTGAACACGCCATCACGAGTGAATGAAGCCTCGTCCGTATACAATAATATTTTTAGAAAATCAGGAATATCAACACATTTTTGAATCATCCATTCACAAAACTCCACTCTCTTTTCTTCATCACCTGGATATAAGGCCTGGACTTTTTGGATGTGATAAGGATGTAAACCTTGTTCTTTAAGTGTCCGCCACACAACAAATGAGGACACTCCAATTTCAAGACCTAGTCTTCTACAACTTAATTGAGGCCGGTTTTCAACAGCTTCCAATATTTCTTCTTCGGCCGCCAATGTTCTTTGTGTTCTTGTTCTCCCTCGATCTGCATTGACACTCTCAAATTTTCCATGGTCTCTTAGATGCTGAACAGTTGAAATAAACGTACGACAGTCCGGAATTCTCCGATTTGGAAATCGTTCGCGATACAGGATTTGTGCTTGCCGAGAATTTTCTCCAGCTGCCCCATAAACCAGCACTATATCCGTTAGTTCAATATTCGTAAATAGTGGCATCGTAAAAAATATTTAAAAGTAATCGTAACAACACTTTTTACCAACTTGGAAATGACGCGATCGTGTTAGCCAGATTCGTAAATCAACTAAAATTTTAATAATCTATAGTTTCAAAAATGTATAGTTTAAAAACAATCATTTATCAAATATTCTAGTTTTTTGATAACGAGGGTAGTAAAAACCAGTCTTCGGAAATAGAAATTAATTCGAAAATCTTGGCAACATGGTTATTTCTTACAAGACTAGTTTTCTTATCATCTGACAAAAACTTGCATATTAATTACTGTTGATGTTTAAAATAGGTAAATAAACCTAATTTATATAGGTCATCTTCAACATATC